TTGGGTTCAACACGTGATTATCTCTATTACATGAGAGAGTTCTCTCCTATTGCACGAGATTAATAAAGCCCGAAAGAATAATATAAACTTAATAAAAAGACCTTCATATAAGATTTTAAGATTTTGCATTAAATTGATTATTTATATAGTATCATAGTTTCAATAATTATAAGATCACGAGTTCAATCATTGCCTCTCCACACTTTGATGGTTATTTAATAGGAGGTAAAAACAAATTTTCCTACCAAAATAGAGTGAAAAAATTATTTGACTATGTTTGATAAGAGGTGAAGTAAAAATATGGTGAATTTTTTTTTCTCATCATTTGCTTTTCTATGTAAAATAGTTGGAAAAAATTATCATTGAAGGTGTGATTTTTTTTCCCCATATGGTAGAAAAATTAACACACAACATTAATAAAATTAACTCAATATTTTTAGAAAATTTTAGCCTACAAAACACCTTTTAGTAACTTACCCCGAAAAAAAAATCATTATATTCTCAGAAATTATTTTTTTTCGGTAAAAAAAAATTTCTCCTCTACCAAACGCCTCCTAAAATTAAATAAACATAAGATAAATGAGCCTATATAATATCTAAACTTCTTGCATGAAAAATTATATTAGAAAATAATATAAATCATTAAAAAAATTCTTACTCAATATTTTAAAATTTTGAGTTGAGATAATTTCTTACACTAACAAATGCTAGTTCCACTATAAGAAAATTACTAATACCGGAACTTCTCAATGACAATCTTCACCTGATTACTCTTTCCTTTTATTTTTTGTTAGATAATGAATCGAAATTATAAATACCGGACTGATTATGGGCGTAATAAAACTGAAGTGCTGAGATTACCAAAAAAAAAAAAAACTGAAGTGCTGAACCATTCTTTACAGTGCTGCATCACAACAAATTTACATTACGCATTTCCATTGTTTAATAATTTCGTGAGACTTGACATAATTCCTTGCGCTTAATAAACGTTTTGTTTGGGGTAAATTACTTAACGATTTTAATTTATATGACATGATGTTTCGGCACCTTTTATAAAAACGGAGAAGCAGTTAGAAATAGATGCTTGCATTTTATCATAAAATGTAGCCAAATGGATGCAAAAAGGAGATGGGTACACGTGGCGCATTTCTTTTCTTGTACTTATCATGCGGCCAGTGTTTTCTAATTTCTACTTTTCCGAACACATGAAACTATCAAAACATAGGGATATGACTCATGAGAAATCTTGTTTCAACGAGTCATTCCCTCACGATCCTACAGATAACAGATGTCTCAGCTTCTACCAGTAAATGTGGATTAGGATGATCAATGATGTGATATGATATGCATTGAGCAAATTGATGCTTAGCTGTTTGATAAGGACTTCTACATTCATTAAATTCCGTGAACATGACATGTCTCTCTTGAGTTTTCAAAATAGGAGCAAAGTTTTTCAATTAAATAGAAAGTATTGATTATAGGAGAGTGGAAATATTTAAAGTAAATAGAAAGTATCGATTATAGGAGAGTGGAAATATTTAAAGTAAATAGAAAGTATCGATTATAAGAGAGTGGAAATATTTAAAGGAAAAACTTATTCTCATATTATTGGAGAATAGTTCTTTTTTTCTTCTACATATTTACTTATTTTTGTGTAGCTCAATTTTATTTTATTTTTTTATAAGTGAGATAGTTTCACCAATAATTATGTCTATAGTCAAAGGTAAAACTTGGCCGGGTCGGCCTACAGGGACCTACAGCAGGCCAGACCTAACCTAATATATTTCATAAAACAGGCCAGACTTAAATCTTGAAAAAACTTGGTTAATAAATAGGTCGTGGGCCCACTTTCACAAAGCCTGGCCTCTAAGCCTATAGGGCGACCTATATGGTATTAATTATTTTAAATAAAATAAAATAGAATAAGTATGTCTTGAAGAAAAAAACAAAAGATATAAATTTAATCGATCGCATTTATTTATAACTCAATTATATTCGATTATATTTTAATAAAAATATAACTTTATTTCTTATGTAGGAGAAATCAACATCTCAGTATGTTAGATTGTGTATATGAATATATTAAAAGGTTTTTGAAAGAGGTTATACTTACTACAAACTTCATGATGTGTTTGTTGGATTCATGTAGTTATTTTAATTTACATAATATAGATTTATTTGTTGGGTCTAATAAAATATATGTTATTTAGTTTGGACATTTTGTTTTTTAAAGTGGCTCAAATACAAATTGTGATGAATTTTGTTGTGATTCATGATTTTGTTTGGATGTTGAAATTGTGATTTTTAGTTTAGCAACAGAATTTGAGTATTTTGTGAAGTTAATTCATGGTTCAACTTGGAAGTTAAAAATTAACAGGCTAACAGGCTAAGCCAGGTCATTTGTTTTTTTTATAAACGGGTCAAGTCATGCTAACAGTTAGACTCGTAGTAGGCTTGAGTCAGGCTAAATTGAAATTTTTTTGGCATAGTCTTGGGCTTTTCGTGGCAAAGCTTAGCCCAGCCTAGCCCACTTTCACTCTTATCTGTAGTATATGAAAAAACTACTCTCCTATAATATAAGATTAATAAATCTCGTATTTAAAAGGTAAAATATTCGTTCTCCTCACAAATTTTTTCTTTTCTATATGTCTCTTAAACCCTTCTAAATCTGGTATAACTTCCAACTTCTTTCTTCCCATGTGTTCGATCTCCCCAGTATCATCTTTGAGAGGAGTTTAAAACCTTAATTTCGAAATTCATGCCGAATCAAACTAATCGCGAAACGATAACCAATTGTAATATCTCAAAAAAAAAAATCTCTTTCTTCCGTACGGCTAATTCAACTAATCCTATGTTTTTTTTGTTGTTGTTGTTGTTGTTGTTAGGCGGGATCATGTAAACCATGTAACTATTGAAGACGGGATCCACTCATCCACCCAAAAGAGAAAAAAGAATTCGGGGGATGCTACATAACCATCAAAGCAACGTAGAAGATGCTGTGAATACACGGGATCCTTTACCTATCATATCTACCAGATGTTGAAAGTGATTTTAAATAAACAAAAAATGGGATGGTGCATAATCACCTCGTGGACGAGGTGTCGAGGTTTGGACCCGATCCAGCAAGGCAGAAGCCCAATCACCTAAGCCCAAGAAATTCAGTAAGAGGCCCACATACCTGATGGTATTTTTGCTTAACATGTTAACTATTTTTTCTTTCCAAAATTCCGTTAAATTGAAATTTGGGTGATTAATTAATTTTCTTTCATAAATTTCTATACAACACATTAATATACTGTGCTGACGTAAAACAATAAATTGGGTGCCAAAAACTCTAAATTAAGGGTTGCTTTAGTAATAGTTCAAACATTTCCATGTGATATGTCTTCGAGCCTTTTGACACCTAATTTTTTAAGTTAAAAGTTACTTTCAAATTACAGCAAAAAAAAAAAAAACTGTTTTAAAAATAAAGCTAAAAATTATTTAATGATTATATAAAAATTTTAATTTAAAATTTACTTAAAAACTATTCATTTAAAAAAAATTGATACAACTTAAAAAATATTTCAAGTTAAAAGTTACTTTCAAATTACAGCAAAAAAAAAAAAAACTGTTTTAAAAATAAAGCTAAAAATTATTTAATGATTATATAAAAATTTTAATTTAAAATTTACTTAAAAACTATTCATTTAAAAAAAATTGATACAACTTAAAAAAAATTTCAAGGAGTTTTTGACTCTTTATTTTTTATTTATTATAAAAAATATTTTTATTATAAGAGTTTTTATAAAAAAATTGTTTGACCTAATTTTTCTTAACTAACAAAAAAACATGCATTAAATTGGTTGACCCATCACCCATAGCGCAAGTCGAATTTGATAATTCTGTTATGCATGTAATAGGCCGCTTAACACAAAAAGCCACATTAGACCAGCACACGAACGGGCATAATAGCCATTTATATTTTTTTTATATGTATTTTAAAAGTAATATTATATTTAGTAAAAACATTACGTGTAATGATGCATGATTATTTTTTTTACTTACTTTTTTTTTTTTTCAATCTTTACTTACTATTCTTCAATATTATTATATAAGAAAAAAAAAACAGATAAAATAATCTATCTCTTAAAACAATGAGAATTGGTTCAGTGAATATGATTAGACAACTTTGAATAAAATATTTTATATTTAAGTATGACATAAGATAGTGTACTTATAATTCTTTTTATGTACATCTTACCTATCAATCTTTTAATGTTATTATATCAGAATATCAAGATGAGAAAAAAATAATAAAAATTAATTAATATTCTAATTTAACAGCATTAAAGAAGAGTAGATAAAATAAATATAAAAAAAAATAAGTCAAATAATGATTCGACTTTTAAACTGAAAAACCTCTCTTATATACATTCTAAAGAATTTTTTATTATTTTGAGATTCTGATTTAATGATATCGAAAAGTTAAAAGCAAAGTAGGTATAAAAAAAGATAGGTAGAATAATATATCTCATCTAAAAAATATAAAAGTAAAAAAATATAATAATTTTGTAATTAATTTTTTTACCTATAAAAGAAAATATATGAGTAACAAATTTTAATAGATTGTTCCTTTTAAATTTAAGTTGTCTTGTTTTGTTAAAAATTGCATATTTTGTTAAAAATAAAACAATTTTTTGAAATAAGTATAAATATAAGTATACAACAAAAAAAAAACAATTATAAATATATAATTAAACATTAAAATAATTTAATTTGATTTATAAATTTCTGTAAACAAATTTAGGCATAAAGGAAAATTTTCAAAATTACAACCGAAAGGTAAACAAACAACGAAAAGAAAATTTCAATATTTACAAAAAAAATAAAAATAAAAAAATTCAATATTTAATTGGAATTTGGACGGACGTTGGATTGCCTGATGTATCAAAGATCCGCGGAAGCAAACCCTAACTCAAGTTTGCTCGCTTCAGTAGCACGTGACACACGTGACTGTGAAAATGATGACTTGATGAGTCGCGAGCGCCGCAAGGCTCAATAACACTATCCCACTGAAATGCAAATGTTTTTATGATGACCGTTGGATTGAGTGCCACCTCATCGATTCGCGTGAATTCGTGTTTCAACGGCTGAGATCAGCGTTGCAGAGCAACTGGGGGAACGAAGGGAAGAGGCTGGTAACTTCTCTGTCTTCTCTATTCTCCAGTGCTCGATTTCCGATCGATTCTTCCCTCCTCGCGAACAAGGAGTTTCGAAAGTGCTGTGATACTTGGATTTGAAGATGAAAGCCGCTGAGGAATTGAAGGAGCATGTTGAGGAAAACGAGGTCATCACTTTGAATGAAGATGACGACGAATATGAATCCGAGGATGAAGTAGACGATGGAGAAGACGATGAGGACGAAGAAGGTGATGGTGAATACGACAATGAAGACGATGAAGATGAGGACGGAGGTGCTGCTCCTGACGGCGGCGGCGACGATGATGAGGATGACGAAGGAGAAGAAGGAGGTGATGACAAGCGCGGTGGCGGTCCTGACGACAACGATGACGATGACGATGACGACGACGACGACGACGACGATGACGAGGAGCGCGGGGAAGAGGTATACTTAGATTTAGTTTATGACTTCCCTAATTTGTTGAAACCGGTACAGTTTTGGAGGCTTCGCAAATATGGATTCTGGTTTGTTTATTATCTTTTATTTATCCATTCTCACTTTATTCATATTATCTCCCTTTTATTTTTCAATTTTGAATCTGTTCTAAACTAGTTGCTTTATTCGTTTATGAATATTTGTTGAAGAGATTTTTTCAAGAACAAGAGATTATATTAATAGAACCTGTTTGCGAGACTGACTCTTTGTGATGTTACATTATTACGCTGTGCATCTGTTTTTCTTTCCTATTGTGATGGGAAGGGCTTAGCCTATCCCTACTGCCATGTCCTTTTCCTTTGTTATGCTCGGTCTTAAATATGATTTATTTTCAGAATTATTTGCTATCACCGAATGAACAAGGAGAGAAGAGAGTTTAGATATTTGTTCATCTGAATCTTCTTCATTATTAATAGATTGCATTTTAAAATTGACTTCTCGAGGATTTTAGGCATCCAAGAAAGTTTACTCTATTTTATGTATAATCTATTTTACTCTTTTATTTGAAATCGCTCAATTCTTTAGTACACATTATTGTTTGATCTTTTATAGTTCGTTCATTTATATTTGATTTCCTTGCTGTTTCGTTCTTGTTGTCTAAATTGATGCCAACTATCTTGGGGAAAAAATAAAATCCTGTTCACTTGGAATGTGCATTATATAATGGACCGCTTCCTTTTTATGGCATAGTTTAGATTATTTGAATTTTCAGCAATTCAGCCTTATGATATCTCACTTAATTGGCCATCTTTAAGTGATCTTGAAATTGAAAACCGGTGACAGAAATTTTAGTTATCTGCATCTATTGCGTTGCTTTATTATATATTGTGACTATTATTAATTTACTGTCAGAATAATTCTACTTTGCTATATTTCTTTCTGCATTTGAATTACTGACACATAAAACCTTAGGAGGATTTGGGAACAGAGTATCTTGTTCGCCCTTTAGGCACTGCTGAAGAGGAGGAAGCATCCAGTGATTTTGAACCCGAGGAGAATGGTGATAAGGAAGATGAAGGTGACGGAGACGATGATGATGAAAAGGTTGAGGTTAAGCCTAAAAGAAAGAGGTCAGATAAGGATGACTCAGATGATGATGATGGTGATGATGATGGTGATGATGGAGATGATGATGATGATGATGATGATGATGATGATGAGAGACCCTCTAAGCGATAGTTAGGTCCATTCTTTGTTTGAAAAGTCACCATAGGTCAACATATCACTCTCTGTCCTACAAAACAATCAGAGAAATGATAAGTATGTTGATGGAATTGTTTCTTGCTCTGTTGTATTGTTATGATACAGTTTTATTGGGCTTACTAGTTTTGTAAGGTCGGTGCTTAGTCAATAGTGCGTTTAAAATGTGGTAGAACAAATTTTGCAGACTTAAATATCTTCTAGTTCTTTGTAGGTTGGTAAATCTTGTGCATTACTATTTCTAATATTGTACTCGTTTGTTGCTATTACATGTTGATGGGAATTGGGAGCTTCATGTCCACTGGTTGTGAATGCTGTATGGACTAGAGTACTAGACTCTTCTTTTTGAGGCATCCAAACCATTTTGTGTCCATGGTATATTGGGTCTACCATGAATTGAAAATGTTTTCTCCCCTTTGTTTGCTGAAAATTGGTGCGAGGCATTTTGATTTCGCTTATGGCGTAATGTTCTTGCGTTTGATTTGCGTTGCTTTCTGCCTGCAATTGTGGGGACTGGCTAAATTGGGTTTTCAACTAATCTGGCTAAAAGTTAAACCTTTCATACTTATTTCATTTATTAGAATCATGAAAAGTTTTTCCATTCATTGTCGATAGTGGCAAATCTTTTCCCTTGTTATTCTTGCTCACGTCCCTGTCTATCCGGCAGGCACACACAACCGAAGCCGTAAATGAAGTGAAAATGGATCGAGACATAATGCCAATTTGGTTATGTCATTTTTATAGGGGGGAAAAGTCATTGCATTAAAATTATATTTGTTTCCTTTCGGTTCATAGATATCAAGGTAGGTCGTCATTTTTCTTCTGTTGGTAGCAGTTAATGAAAAATTTACAATGATGGATTTGTTGAATTGCATATCACTATCAAGACAGCTACTGCCAGTGCTACCCAATTATGTCCAGTTTCTGAAAAATGTGAAAGTCCAGTCATCTTTTGCTCACCCAACTAAAACGTTCCAATTACTATCTGTTGAATGGTACTATTTACTTCGAATCATTCAGAGCATATGCTCTTTACATTGGTAGCTCTGCTCTGGACGGAGAAAAGTGAACACCATTTTAAAGTTGATTGTTAATTTGAAAGATTCCAACTTATATTATTATTAATTTATTACCGATATAATCTAAAGTTCAAGCGGACAGCGGAATAAAAGAGTACCAAAAAGCAATCAATGCAACCAAGTCTATATGTAATGAATTTAGACAACTGAAACAACATGATCTCATTTTCTATCTCTGCAAAAAGAAATCATAATTCCAAAGGCATGGAAAATAAATGATTCTTTTTTACATGAAACTTCAAGTTTTTAGAAAGAAATAAACAATCATATATCCACCACCAGTAGGATATTCTGCACATCTCATGGTAGTAAATATGCTTACAAAATAAAAAAAGGAGAGAAAGAAATTAAAATCAGAGAGTGCAACCACAAAAGACGAAGAAGTAGCAAAGCATTGCAAGCAAAGCAACGGACTCCAAAACCGACACCAAAGCCCACAACACGTCATCCAATAAGGACAAACTCAGCCACCGGAGACTCTGCAGATTCCATCCCGAAAAGTCGAACGCCGGCCACCGGAAAATCGACCACGATAAGGAAAGATCCAACTCAGGCAACCGCAAGCTCGAATTGTACCACCACCACCCCCTGGAGCTGGTCCTCGAGCACATCCTTTCTCTTATTTCTATTTACCTTTTTTCCTTTCCTTCCACGACTTTCTCCAATTTGTTTTTTATTTCTAATTCCGTGAGAGTGATATTTGGGGAATTAATTGGGTTTTTATAGGTGAGGGGGTGCGGTTCTTTGTGATTGTGTAGTGTACCAAAAGAACATGTCACTGGCAAGGATTTATCCACAGCCACCAGTATGGCGTTATCCATCCACTTTCCTCATTCTCACATCATTTCTTTTTTCCCGTATACGTAATTGGATACTTACCCTTAAATCTTAATTACATAACTTCGTTTTTTCACCTGACCTGACCCCGTTGATGGGGTAATTCGAAGGGAAGAGTAAACACTCAGCCACTCTCATATAAACCGTAAAGTTTGTAAACATAAATTAGTGTGTATGTTTATATATACTATACAGTGTAAATTCGTATTTGTAGTTATTTGATTATACGTGTTTACTAAATGAAAATCTGAGGAAAAAATTCAGAAATTAGTCACAACATTCCTATCATTTATAAATGTTCACAAATTAGTCAAAATATTCATATAGCTACACATCAATATACTGTGATAAAGTAAAACAGGATATTTGGTGTTAAAAACTCAACCAATCCAAGGCAGTGTCTATTATATATGAAATGAGCCATTTGTAACACAAAGTTCACATATACCACCATACGAGTAGGCCTAGAATCTAACAAAGTATAGTCAAACTGTTTTTATAAGAACTTTTATGCGCATTTTCATTGAGCTTGAATGAACTCCAATAAAATTCACGAGTTTGCTGGTGATTTGGTGAGTTTAATGGGAGACCTAAAAATATAGAATTTGTTTCATTGTGTTATTTTTTATATATATATAAAAATATTTTATAGAATAATTAATGAAATATGTATTTCTGTGTTTTTTTATTTTGAAAATTAAAAGTTAAAACACAACATAAAAACAATTCAGATATATGTTCTTTAAATTTAATTCTAAAAATTAAAAAACAGTTAAAAAATTTAGAACTGTTTTTACAAAAATAACCTTTATCAAACTGTTTTTTTTTTTCTGAAAATGAAAAATTATTTTTTAAAACAAAAGTAAACAAGTTCATAGACTCTAAATGAGCAAAACGCAGAGTTTTAAGATGAATAAATAGTTGGAATGGTCCGGTAAAGAGACATGGTCATTGTCATTGGTCAGTATTTCCTAAAAAGAAAGAAATTATTTTTTTTGCGGTCACTGAAAGTGCCACCCATGAGTCAAATTCGTCTTTCCATTTGCAAGAATAAATTAACGTTCTCGGAAGTGCAAATGTGGGACGCTTGCTGCTTTGAAGGCACGCAGACCTGACAAGGAATTTCTTTTTCCTTCAAGAGTAGCGTCTTTTTCGTTTTCTCTCCCAATTCGTGAACAAATCTTTGGTGCTACTGTAGCACTAAAGATTCAGTACATCCTACCAATAAAAATATTACATGTCAGCTAAAGTTTTATTTTCTCTGACAATTTTTCTCTCTCTCATATGATGTGTAATGCTCTCATTGGCGAGATACACTGAATCTTGGTGCAACAGTAGCACCAAAAATTTATTCCCAATTCGCACGCAACTCTCAATAGGCCTCCAAGCGCATGCTGATTCTTTGTTCTTCCCAATCACAAAGTTTGATGCTTCTCTACGTTTTTCGTTGCCACTTCTATTTAATAAACGTAGCTTTCTTAGATATATGGCTCAAGGATCGCCCTATTGGCCCTAGTTTCTTTGTTTCTCTGTTTCACATTTGTTAACTCCTAATAACGGGGCAAAACTAAAATAACTGAAAACAACAAGTGCCCCCAAAATCAGCGGCGGATGAAGAAATTTTAATAAGAGGGGGCAAAAAATATTATTATAAATAAAAGTACTTGATATACAATATAAATTTAATATAAAAAATTTGAAAAAAATCTATTATAGAAATTAATATTACTTCACTTGACTCTTGCTCTACGTGTTTTCATATATTTAAATTCATCTATAATTGAATCTGTGCTAAAACTCAAAACAATTTCTTTTTCAATATATGTAATCAAAGAATCATTAAGAAATTGGTCTTCCATTCTATTTCGAAGCCTGATCTTGATTATCTTCATAGCTAAGAAAGATCTTTCAATCATTATTGTAAAAACTGGAAGAGTGAGTACAAGTCTAATCACTCTATCAATAAGAGGGTAAATGATGAACTTTCCAATTCTTTCTAGCCCTTGACGTAATTCAGATATATATACATGTCTAACCACTGTATATGAGACTATGAATTAATACTAAGAGTTAGTATATATATATATATATATATATATAGGACTTAACGTTTCTCAAACTACTTGAGATAATTGTATCTCCGGCTATTAAATCATAACCGTACAAAGATGGATCGATGGTGATAAAAGAAGAGAGAGAAAATGGGAATCATAACCATTCAAAGGTGAATCAATTAATATAAGAAAATAAATAAACAAAACGACGTAGTTTTGGGGTGGCCGAAGATAAACTTGTCTCAAGTTGCCGGAGAAATATTTTTCCCATATATATATATATATATATATATAATATTATATACTAATATACCTGTGAACACCCATTCGTTACAACTCCTATACCCAGAAAAAAAAAAAAAGCATTATATTCTTTCCATAGTTTCAAGTTTCAACCCATCTAAAAGTTAGTCTATGACTATACATACATGCAATGATCTTAGGAAGGTGAGAGTTGATTTTGCTTGTCTCTAGAATTTACACAGCCATAATCGAAAGAATGAAGGAGGTTGCGGACCACGGAAATGAGGGAGAGGATGATATGATGTTCTCAAGAAAAAATATGGGTAAAAGTGTGGGGCAGAAGCATGGAGAACTGAAGGGAAAAACATGTAGAATACGGTAGTTTCATCATCATATTTTTTTACATATATTATAAAAAAAAATCCCAAAATTTAGGGGAGGGGGGCGGAGGCCCACCCTAGCACAAAATGGAACCTTACTAACAAAATGATCTGTTTAAGTGTTTAGGGATTAGATCTGTTTGCCTCTAGAGATATAGTATGTATGTGAGCTGGTATGAATTATAGCTCAGCAACGAAGTTACTCTTAAAAGAAGATGTCTCTTTAATAAAGTGAAATTTTTTGTCTAAGTTTACCGAAATGAATCCAATGCCTTAAGGTTTTGGTTGAGATATGGTATCGGATTCATTTGCTATTGTTGGTATAGACTTAGCTTATTCATGGTTGTCTACGCTACGGGCTCTCCCGGAATCCGCCTAATAGTAGTATCAGAGCTAAGTTAGGCTCGAGCTAGTCAGTGTTGGGTTAAGAGAAAGATTAAGTACTTTGGACTGGGCCTCGATACTCGGTTGAGGAGAAACATACTAATATTGGGTTTCATACTTAAGGGAAAAGATTGTTTAAATATTCAAGTGTAATGAGTCAGATGTTAGTTGACAATGAGCTAAGTAATATATATATATATATATATATATATATATATATATATAAAAGTGGGAAGATCTATAAATCCAAAACTTTAAGGTTTTGTGTTGAGATATGATATCGGATCCCTCGTTACGATTGGTATAATCTTAGCCAATTAGTAATTATCCCC